CCTGCTGTTTTTCACAGAGTACTGGCGCCATCCTTTAGCCTGCTGTGCCAGCTTTCACTTTCTACACCATTGGGCCTCCAAGGTGACTAGTTCAATTCTCAGCTCTGTCAAACAACTTTCATGACCTAGTTTTTCACTCTGCAGCGGGGCTGAAACAATGCCCTCCTCCTCTGCTTGGATCCATTCTTGCATTTGCACAGAAAAACAATGTCTTACTAAAGAAAAGCCTTAGGGCTTTTTCAGTTTTCTGTTAAATTTTGACCAGTTCTGAAAAGAGAATCAGAGAAACAATGTAATTCTTTAGAGAAACCAAAAGTCTAATCAAACAGAGAACCTAGTGAATATATTTTTTGACTGATGGGCATTTAAATGAGTATACTATTTACATACATTGTAAGAGGGCATGAAGTGTAGAAAAGAGGCTGAAGGGTTTGTGCATGTTAGAAATACTATACTGTACAATGTTGTACGTTTTTAGTAAAGCAGTACAAAGACCAATGACTTATGCGAACAGCAGTGATGGATTGCAATTGACCAGATTTCACCTTTTTATGAATTATAGAAGCTCTGTAGCTAAAATAAAAAATAAGTAAAATAGTAGCTGTACCTTTTTTTTTTTTAAAGAAGGACATTTCTTCTGCTGCTCCACAGCAATCAAGCGAAATTGTTCCCCAAAATTCTATCCTGTAGGTTGGCAGAAGAAATCCAGAGTATAATGAGAGATTCAGGAAATTGACACTTCTGGAAATGTCAGTTCCTCCAGATACTTTAAGGACAATTTCTCTTTACCAGAGCTGCATGAGGCAATGCGGGAAGTGAGAAAGGTAAGCCAATGTCACTTAAAGAGCAGCCTTAACAATGAAAGGTATTTTGTAATTGGCTGCTTTACTGCCAAAATGTTTCATATACTGTAGGTTATAAATCTGATCTTACAGAAAAGAATTGCCAGATCAGAGTAATAGGCTGATCATAAACAGCTTGATCCTATTTCTCCATATAACATCTCAATGTAGCACTTGGGCAAGAAGTGAGTCATTTAAGGCAGTAATGACTGCTTTCAGAGTTGAAAAGGCTCTTTAGTACACATAGAGATAATTTAATAGAAACAATCTTTCCTTCTGTTTATTATGAAGATGAAAAAAAGGTGTCAACCACATATGTGGTACTTTTGTGTTTTTTGAGACCGATATGTTTCAAATAATGGGAGAAAATTACTTGAAACATGCCTACCATAGGATCTTATCTTTGGTCAGCCATAGAATCTTACAGCTGTCACCAATCCTGTTTTGGGGCACGACCTATATTAACTTAGTGCATGTAAAGTTCTTTATTTTGGCTTTATAAAACAGATAACTGACTCAGACAAAGCAATTTCCATAGTCTTCTAGCAATAATAAAGTATATAGTACAGCATCTTGGCCAATATACTTTGCTGTTTTCAACCACTATTTATTTTATTATTACAGGTACGTATATGGCACCATCAATTTATGCAGTTATTGATAGATAGTACATTCACATCAGTCCCTAACTCTCAAGGAGCATACAATCTAAGGTCTCTAACTCACATTCATACATACACCAGGGCTTATTTGGACAGGCTCAAATTATCCAACCAACATGTCTTTTGAGTGTGGAAACCCACATAGCCACAGGGATACACAGTTTTCAACATGCAAACTCCAGGCAGGTGGTGCCGTGAATGGGATTGCGAACCAACAACCCTAGTGCTGCTAGGCAGAAGTGCTAACCATTTAGCCACTGTGCTAGCATTGAGCTCCTGATTTAGGCAAACTTAATTTTGTTGTTTTTGTCAGTTAAATTTAGTTCTGTAATAAAGTTATTTATCTTGCATTTTCCAAAATAATGCCAAAATGTACCCCAAATTGTGCCTTGCGGTACTGTACACTTATATTATTGATAAAATGTATTTTAAATCTAGTAAGTCCAAGTGCTTCTCAGTTTAAAAATAGAAAAAGAGATATGTTGACTTCACCCTATTTCCCCCTGACTCCCACTGCTTGGTGAGGTCAGGCATAGAGGACACTTTTCATAGAGGTATGCTGGTGTGTCCTTATACACTTTCACTTTCCTTCCCTTCATACCTTGAGATTTCAAGGGATTCCCTCACTATTTTTATGCTTCTCCTTCTACCCAATCCCCTATATGCCCTCTCCACCCTTTTTTTTTTTTCTGTGAAACACATCTCATACATATGCCTTGATGAAGAGGAACTGCATGTTCCCAAAATGTTGTGGGTGTGTTTTAATTTAAATGCAAAAAAAGCAAATGTATTTTAACATCAGTTTTTGTATGGAGACAACATATCTTTATGACTTTCTCCCATGAAGCAAATGAAAGCCCACTGAGTGAAGTCTGACAATGTGTCTTTTTTCTGTTGGCTATAATAGAACAGCACTGTCCTTTTACTTGGTCAACTCTGCACCCACTTGCTAATGGTCCACAGTGGCCTGAAGGGTGACCTTAAAAAGCCTTGACTGCTTTATTGACTAAGAAAGCCATGGTGTCTAGTGCATGTTTTAGAGAGTTGAGGAAGATGCCAGAAGAGAGGGAGAGATTGAAGGTGTGAGTTAGAGAGTGTAGGATAGAGCCAAAGGGGCCAGAGCTTTTGTTTAGAAACATGAACATTCATATATTGTAAAAGAATACAGGAAGTACAAGGAAATTTTAGTTTCCCCCTCTGTTCCATCCTGATATAGATATTGCATGTTCAAAATTATAATATAGTGTTGAAGGTTCAATAGTCTAGGATAGAGGGGTGATGTACAGTCTATAATGGTGTTGTATTTCAAATAAATGCTTACTTTGTAAGGAAAAAAGAATGCAAATGGAGTTCTTCATAGACTCGATTACAAAAGCTGTCTACTTGCAAGCCTGAAGTGAGGCTTCTCTGATTGAGCTCCGCCAAATATGGTGTAAGCTCTTCAACCGTATTGCTGCTGAACTAAGGCAAGTTCAAGTTAGAAAGGGAATATTAAGAAAATTAGCTGTATACTTAGCTTTTAGGCCTCCTTCAGATCTATTCATGGTGGAAATTGTATTGTACTGCAATGGTAATGCTAGGTACTCTGTGCAATGTCATTCCTTTAGAAGTTCAGTAGGTGCCAACGAACTTATATTGCAACACATATACCTTACGATGTGGTGTGGTGCATTAAAAAAAGGTGTAGGTCTGTTTTTTTTTTATTTTCTGTTGCCATGCATTGGGAGACCATTCTTGATGAACTGGCTGCCCTGATACAATACACAATCCTTACATGTCGTGGCTGTTTTCGTTTTTTTTTTTTTGGGGGGGACTTTTTTCCTTTTATTTTCTCCTGGTGATCTGGCCAGTAACACTTCTTGTTTCAGGGTGTCTCCAGTCTGGAGAAGTAACATTGACACCTTTAGACAGCAGCATTGTCAATCTGGGAAGAGGGTAGTATGGTACGCTATTAGATTTAAATTAACTTGACTAACAAATTCAAGCCAAACTCCAGCTTACACTTTTTAAGCAGTTACAGCAACAGTTTTTTTTTTTTTTTTTAGGGATAAAGGTTTTTACATAAATGAAAGGTAATGATTGTAAGCACCCTTGTTAGTGGTAGATGGTTTGAGTCAACCCTCTAACACTTATGCTGGACATCTTGGTCTGCTGAAGGAAGTGGAAAAATAACACTTACTGCCTGGATCAACAGGTGAAAGGGAAGGAATAAAGCCTAAAAAAAAAAAATGAGCACAGATACCACATTTAAAAAATGGTAATATGCAATATGTTAAATGTTTGTTTTGGGGTTTAATACTACAGTAGCCTGGACTGCAGTTAATAACTGCTCTGGAACTTCTTCCTTTGTTGCTGCTGTATTATCCTTCTGCCATGTGGATAGTTAAACCGAATGTTCATTAATGCAGAAGTGCAGCAGCCATCTTTAACAGCTTCCTGTCCGCCCTATAGCAAATATACTGTGTGTGTGTGTGTGTGTGTGTGTATGTATGTATACACAATGTGTTTTTAGCATATCTGGGTAGGGGGCATGCGGGGCGCACGTGCCCTACCCACGCTGCCATTCGCGGCCACGGCTATCAATAACCAGGTCCCAGCCAGTGATTACTTGCCGGCGCCCAGTGATTGCCAAAGATCTTAGTAAACAAAATAGTTTTCCCTGTCAGCTCCTGCACACTGCTTTGAATGGCTGTGCACACAAAAAACTGCAGTTGCCTAGTCACACAAGTCCCTACACAACTGAATGAGCTTTTCTATTGCTTTTCATATATATATATATATATATCAGAATTTGTATAGCGCCAACAGTTTGCACAGTGCTTTACAAAATGAAGGTAGACATTAGTTACAATACAATTTAGTAACAGAAAAAAACAGAGGCCCTGCTTGTTAGTGCTTACAAAAAATATATATTTATATTTACCAGTCCAAACCCAAAACGGTGATGACCAGGGGCGGACTGACAACTCAAGGGGCCCCAGGGCAATAGGGGATCATGGGGCCCCCTGTGTCCTCACCCACACTCAAACCACACCCAAAAAAAAGCCTATGAAAGGTACCAGTGGCATCTAATGGGGCCCCCTACTGACCCCGGGGCTCTCGGGCACTGCCCGAGTGTGCGAATGGTCAGTCCGCTCCTGGTGATGACTATATCTGTTTTGATGATTTATTCATTTTTTGCCTTATAATAGATAAAGATATTCCCTGCCATTATATCAACTAAAGAAACAAACTATAGCTATTGTAATTGTACTTTTGCCCTTATATTGTAAAGCGCTGCGCAAATTGTTGGTGCTATATAAATCCTGCATAATAATAATAGCTTGTATACTGTATATATACAAACTGCTTCAGGAGTTTTTTGAATTTCTGCTTAAACTCCTACAATATGAGATGATGTTCATCTAAGCTATAATACGTGCATTGCTTATTTTCCTTGGCGGTGATCTAACAGAGATAAATATTTACTTTAATGCCAGGGGCGGACTGACAACTCATGGGGCCCCCGGGCAATAGGGGATCATGGGGCCCCTGTATCCTTGCCCAAACTCAAAAAAGCCTATAAAAAAGGTACCAGGGGCATCTCATGGGGCCCCCTACTGACCCCGGGGCCTCGGCAGTGCCCGAGTTTCCAATAGGTCAGTCCGCCCCCTGTTTAATGCAGGATCTAGCAGTCATCCTCTCTTCCAGTTCTAGTTGTGATGACTAGCCTTCTGAAGCCTCTTTTTTTTTTTGGTGATCTTTGACTAAATTTGTTACCAAAGCTCTTGTTGATTTTGTCACGTACTGTACAAACTATTGGATGAACAACCACATCCTATCCTGATGGCAAGACTGCTGGCTGGGTGGGGGAATGGAGCACAGGCTGTCACAGGACCACAAAGAGAATTATGCATTCTGCTGGAATTGCTGTGCTGTGATAGACTGTTTGATTTCTGCCCTTCACTGGCACCTGATTTCTGCATTACCTGTAAACATACAGTATATAGCAACACTGCTCACATACAGCAACGTCTCATCAAGTATCTGTTAATTTACTTGAGATAGATCCATACGTGGAAGCGCCACTTGTTTGCCTCCTATCCCCCCCTCCACTGCGATATTTGGCTCTTTTTGGGGGGAGGGGGAAGGGGGCGAAGGGGATACCTGGTATTAACACGTACCGGCTCCATTTATGGCTCATTTTGCCACAGCAAAGTGAGCCGGAAGTTTGCCCCCCCCCTTCCTCAGTCTTCTGGAACACTTCACAGGTCCCAGAAGACCGCCAGACTAATCAGGATGTGTTGCACGACTCGCTCATGCGCAGTGGGCACTCAGCTGTGAAGCTGCAAGCTGTCACAGCTTGGTGCCCATAGTTGAGATGCTGCCACCAGGGAGAGAAGGGATGGCACGGGTGAGCACATCACTGGACCCTAGGACAGGTGAGTGTGTTTATTAAAATTGACTGGAACTCTGCTTTAAGATAAAGGTGATTTGCAACAGGTATCTATCTGCTTTACTCAAGCACACAGTTAAACTGTTCTTGTAGCTTGAAGAAAGTTATGAAGCTAACAAGGCAGAAAAATAATACTTTTTCTGATATGAGGAATAAGATGCAGTGAGATGTAATGATGCAGAACAACAAAGCAGTGTGCTTGCAAAGCTAAAAAGAACTTATGAAAGTTACAAGAGACTGAAACATTTGATTCTCTTCAAAAAATATTAATACAGAGAAGTCAATTCAAGAGCTATATGACTTCAATACTCCTAACAAGGATAGACACATTACAAGCCAAATCACGGACAGATAGCTAGACACCACAATTCTAAGAAACTACAGTTCATCATTCAGCATCTACCAGACACATTAAGGGACTTTCAAGATCATCCTATTCAAGGTGCTCTTCACTTAGTGAATAGCTTATACGACTCATACAGAGGTAAAGGCTGCCAAGGTGCAAGATGCCTTTGCAGAAAACATGGCAGAGAATAAGGCAGAAACAGCCTGCAAGCAGAAATAGAAACCCTCAAAGAAAGTGTGACCAAGCTACAGCAGAAGCAAAACTGAGAATTTACAAGCTGTGACTGCAACTGATGTAGACAGTATCAGTCTTGAAAATACAAATGGACGCATATATCATACTAATAGCTACAGTATATCTTAAGCCAGAGCAGCAGATTCTCATTTGCCTCTGATGCTCCTCATGACACTTCTTCAGAGCATCAACCTCCCAAAACTACTGTGACAAATAATTAATGTGGCAGGCCTGTTCTTTCTATCCATCTAGTTGAACCCCCACATTGTACCATACTATCTAAGTACCATGCTACAGAGTGACAGACTATCAACTCAGGTGTCATCGTCCAAACCAAACTACCTTAAAAAAACCCCCAATACTCCAGAGTCACACCCTGCCATAGCATTGAACTGCAACTACAACTTCCCTTGCAAAGTGAACAGTTTATTTGCATTTAGTCAATCCCCTTTAGACAATCAAATGCCTACTGACAAGAACAGGAGAACAAGAAGGCGCTTCTAAGTGCAATATTTCCAGTAGTTTTAATCCCTCACTGTGCCAACCAGCAGCTGCAGGGGGAGCTGAGAGCTCAGTGCTAAGATGGCCCCCACTTGTCCAGAACTACCATGCGTAGAACGCACAGACCAGAAGTGATGTCAGGAGGGGGCTGTGATGCATTTCAGAGCATGCGCTGTTCACTCCTTCATCAAGACCTAGCCCCCCACGGAAGACAGTGCCTTGTTATATAGCGGGAGAGGGGGTGGGGAGAAGTACAGAAAGAGGCAGCACCAAAATTACTGGTATACCAATGACTTAAACTGACAAGAGGATAAAGAAGGGGAGACAATAAAAAAAAAAAAGGCATAATGAAATATATACGGTAAGTCCCCGACTCTTAAATCGGATTCGTCCGTAAGTCCTACAAAGTGAGTCTTATACACCTTCTGACACAAATATACAATGTAAAGCATAAAAAAAAAACACACAATACTATAAATAAATAATTTTTTACTTTTACAGTTACCTTAAAATGGTGGTACAGTACAACTGTAAAACTATTTTTACTTTAACAGCGATTTGTTCGCATCTACGAATGTTCGTAATGCGAGGTCCATTCGTATCGGTGAAAGTTCGCAACTCGAATGTTCGTAAGTTGGGGACTTACTGTATAGTGTGAAAATGTATAAGAATGTGGCGCATTAAGAATTCCAATATGGGCCAATATATACACCAGCTCCTAGTGGTGCATATTGATATTGCCAACATCACCGTGATCTCAGGAATGGATAAAAACACAGTGACATAACCATGCTAGATAATACAATGATAGTACATTATAATAATACATAAATGAACAAACTTAAATAAGGGTAATATACAGCAATAGCAAACAATCAAAAGGAATAAAGGGGAAGAACCAGCCAGTAGTATTGTGGCAAATTAACGACAACATGAAATGATATTATGCTCCCACAATTCCTATTGGGACTACCTATGCTGGTTATGGTTCATTCTCATTCTTAACAGATATTATATAAAATATTAATAAAATAGTGATAATATACATACACATTCTAATAAAAAAGGGGGGAGGAGAAAGAAAAAATATATAAATGTAGGAAATTTCAAAATATATACACTTATTATATCTAAGTTATTCACTTACAGTTTGTAGGAAACTAAACCAAAAACAACCACCCCATATTTTTTTTTTTTCCAATACGTCTTTATTAGCGTATGATTGCACATACAAATACAAATAGTACAAGGTATATTTAGTGTTTTACCAGTACAAATAAGCATGTAGAAAAACAAGCTATAAACAGTTCAATACAGCAAAACATGATGTCTGATATGGTGTCAGACGGAGAGTGCAAGAGCATACCTTTTTTACAAATATAAGGAAGGGGAGGTAAGCAGGTGGAATGAGGGAAGCTTGGGGGGGGGGGGGGGATAGAAAGAGGGATGAGGGAGGTAGGGAGAAGGGGAAATATTGGGATACAGCTCAGAGGGGGAATATAGCAGCTAACCAACTGTGGGTTTGGCAACATAATCATTAACCTATAGACATATAGGAGCAAATATCATAGGGTCAACAGTACATTTTGGATTTTGTAGCCATACTGACCATGCCTTTCGAAAGTTAAAATTTATAAAATTAGTAATAGACAACAATTTCTCCATTTCACATTGGTGGTTAAGTGTGGATATACAAGTGCATGGTACAGCAGACACATATCAGGAATGTGAAATTTGGGTTTACACATTATTTAACTCATGTATATAATATAGACATGTAAATATTTCAGGTGAGGAGTGTTGTTTCCCACATTTTATGTGTTACATTATTGTTGTAATGTACTACATTGTATTATTGAATAGTGGTATCTCCTGACACCAGGTGGGAGTGTGCTGTCTGTTTAAACATTCAGCACAGTTGAGGAAGCATTATAGTTTGTATTTTTCAGCATTGCTTTGGAATGTGTAAATTGCCTATGTAAGAATGTGTAAATTGTCATTTTTATTATACAACATGGACTTTAGAAACATTACAATGATTGAATTTATGTGTATATTTACCCAGAATAATCTCATAAACATAGTAGTTTCTAGACCCCCCCCCCCCTTTCTTCTTTTTTTTTTTTTTTCCTCTCTGGCTCTCCATCCCTCAGCCTTCCCTACTCCCTCTCTGACTCTTTTGTCATCGTTCCCTTTACCTTCTCTTTCCTCCTTTTTCTATTTTGCATGTCGTACCTTACTCTCATCCTCCTACCCTTCCACTCTTCTCCCTGCCCATAGGCGACATACTCCCATACCCATACGCAATCTACAAATATGCTCCATCCGATACACAGAGACCTCTCCTCACATACTGGTAACCACTAGTCGTAGCCCGTTATACCTCATGGATAGTATAGAACTCTCTACACTTCTACACCAGCTTTCCTCTATAGGATATACCGAGCTTCTACCCACATCCTTTGCCCCCCTACCCTGCTTTTACATGACGTAAGATATATGGGGGAATAAACAATTGATCCTCCCCATCTTGTGGATTTCTTACGCCTCATTTTGGCTATGGGTATCAAGTGCCTTCATCCTTGCTGTGTCCATATGCCGTCTCCTCTAATCTAATATCATTAATAGTATGTGCGACATGAGATTGTTTTCTCTGTCTGACTACCTTAGCATCTCTCACTGTATGGTATTTATTTGTTTTACATTGCGATTTTCATTATCACATTGTATCTTTGTACTCAATGTACTTTTTTGTATGCTCTGTGCTTTCCTAATAAACTTTATGGAAAAAAATAGTAGTTTATTCCTGGAATTATGTATATTCAGATAAAACAGATGAAATTTCTTAGATTGATATTTTACACTAGATTATATAAAATATTAGATCTACTTCACACAATAGGGATATGAAAATTCTCCAAACACTGTTATACAGATGTTATACAAGAGGAACAATGAACATTTTCAGGATGATGTGTCATACTGCAAAGTAATTGTGGGAGATCTAGGGAAGTGAAATGTACTGCATATAGCCCATGAGTCATTTGTTTCAGCTGTACTTATAAGAAGGTGGCAAACGTGCAAAATCTACTAGACAGTGTAAAAAACTGAATGTGTACACGGACTTGCTGGTGGAGTCCCAAAACATTTCTAGAGTGATAATAAACCGTAATCAGAACCATAAATGGAGATATACAGTATTTTAAAGTAGTTCTCACACAGAAAAACTCACTTTACATGTCAGTAGGGCACTTGTCAGTATAAAGTCCCATTCACAACCAAGTTTTTCGTGAATGAGCGTAAATATGTACATTTACAAAACCGTGCAAAAAACACATCACACTTTTAGCTGGGGAGTGTAAAATCAGGCTTACTTCTGCATTGAAACCAATCATCTTCTAACTTCAGTTTGTTCAATTAAGCTTTGGCAATAAAACCTAAAAGCTGCTAGGTTTTTATTGAAAAGTAAACCTGATTTTGCACTATCCAGTTTTA